TATCACCAATTTTGTTCAACTTGTACAGCGAATGCCTTACCAAAGAAGCTCTGGATGGGCTTGGAGACTTCAAATTAGGAGGGAAAATTATTCAAAGTGTGAAATATGCAGACAACCTTGTGTCAATGGCTAAGGAAGAAACTGTGCTACAGGGTATGATTGATAGACTAATCGAAATTGGAAGGTGCTATGGCATGGAAATGAATGTGGAAAAAACAGAAGTAATGAAAATTTCGAGACAACCAACCCCAGTCACAATAAAAATAGACCAAAAACAACTTGAGAATGTGAAATGTTTTAAATATTTGGGTAGCTTGTTAACAGATGATGGAAGGTGTATGTGTGAAATTAAATCTAGGATTGCCATGGGAAAAGCTGCATTTAGCAAGAGGAAGAATCTTTTTACCAGCAAATTGGACTTAAATTTGTGAAAGAAACTAGTGAAATGCTACATTTGGAGCACTGCTTTATATGGGGCTGAAACATGGACACTTAGGGCAGTAGATCAGAAACATCTGGAAAGTTTCGAAATGTGGTGTTGGAGAAGGATGGAGATCAGTTGGACTGATTATGTGAGAAATGAAGTGTTATTTAGAGTCAGTGAGCAGAGGAATATCCTACACAAATAAGAAAACAGAAGGCTAATTGGATTGGTCATATCTTACGCGGTAACTGCCCTTTAAAAAAGTTATTGACGGAAATATAGAGGGGCGGATAGAAGTGACCAGAAGACGAGGAAGAAGATGTAAGAAGATGATGGATGACCTTGGGGACAGAAGAGAATATTTTAATTTGAAGGAGAAAGCTCTAGATTGCATTAAGTGGAGGAACTGTTTTGGAAAAGACTGTGAACCTGTCATCTTGACAGATTACAGATGAATGAATGAATATAAACCTGATTCCCTACCCAAAACTTTACTCAGTAAGAATATTTATATTTTCCATTACAGGAAGCCAAAATTGCACACGATAACTCAATGGACAAATGCAATAAATTTTGCAAAGAAGCTCTGCTGTTAACTTGATGTATGAACTGACAGCACAGAAGCATTAACCTTTTTGTGGCTACAATGCAGATCACATCTCTGAATCTGAGCTTGATATCTTCCTCATATCACGACACAACTTGCTGTCAGATTTAAAACATGACTGCACCTTTCTTATTGTACATACTGAGAGAATTATTGCAACAGGTGCCAACATCTTCTGGCTACATTTGCAACTAAAAATCTGAAGTCTATATCACCAGACAATGCTAATACTTTGTCCCAAAATATGGCAATGTGCAGCTATGGCGTTTATTTTTCTGTTCATCTAATGGGCTGTCAGATAACTGGCAATGAACAATCACACTACATTTGGTTCAGCGATAATTTTCTGCTTTAAATCCTTCAATACCTGTATTATGCTGTCATAACAGAAGCACAGGTGCTAATGCAACAATATACTCTACGAATTAACAACATAATCTACACTAAAAACAATGAATGTTTTGTGCTATTCATTCTAATGATGTTTCTGCAACTATAAGAGAACCCTTGTTCCCACATGCTAAATGAAGGAAAAAGATTTCCTCTTCTATTTAGGTACTGTGATGTTTTCTGAGGTTTCAGAAGAATTCAGCAAATTTCTTCCAAAAGAAGGTGGTGCCATAATTTGCAGAACACAATTATTCATCAATAAGAACTTGAAAACTTATATGGTGGCTGAACAATTTATATAATAAAAAAAGTTCAAAAGTATCTTTTATCAGATTTTATACGTTCTTTGCAAAAAGTGCAGAAAATGAACAAGTCGATCTGTCTTCATGTTCCATCTCTGAAACTTTCTAACAGATTTTGGGATTACAATGACATTTAGTACACTGCGCATTCACACTAAAAGTTTTTGGGCCAATTTAATTTGTTATGTGCACTGGTCAGTTTTAACCCCTATTTTATTCAATATTAAGCATAATTATATTTTGCAAACTTTCTAAAAGAATCTGGCTGTCAACAAACTGAAACATGGAATAAAAGAAAGATCTCATTAACATCTGCAACATTTATTCAAACAATCTTTGCTTTGTCAAATTTGAAATGAAATACAGTACAAGGAAAACAGTTTCTGACCCTATACACTGTAATGTGATTAGCTTTGCAACAGATCTGTATCTGCAATAAATGAACATCAAGGTCATAAGAGTATGCAAAATAGTGACAAGACGGCTGAAAACCAAAACAGATGTGGCCACTGCATGGCAACAGCACAGTAAACACATTTTCACAGCAACAGATACTGACACAACAATAGAAGACACAATGTTTACTATGCCATCAGTGATGAGGTTATATAATGAGAACCAAATGGACAAGCCAGCAAGTCAGCAGTTAACAGTCTCGGGCTGCACTGCTAGAAGCCGCTACCTAGCAAGAATCAGTGAACAAACAGAAGTCTTTGTGTGTGCTGTAGTTACAGTGATTTATAGAATGTAAATCAGTGACACTGTTATAGTTATTTGTAGTTATGAGTTATAATCGTTCAGTACAATTATCAATCTGAACACCGTGTCTAGTCACTAACACGTGACAACTGAAAGGACAGAAAATACAGTAGAACTTGGTTATAACGTCATCAAAGGGACCTAAAAATAGTGTCGCTATAAACGAATGTCGTTGTAACCGAAATGGGCACTTCCACAGTAGCCTTATGTTAGTCACGTAAAAATCTACCAAAAACCGAGTTAAAATGTTGCATTTTTTAGTGAAATACGTAGTTAAGTACAGACTAACATAACATTAACGTGGAATTGCCCAAATGTGTAATATCAAAGACATATTACAGCGCTTTTCACTGACAATACACACAATATTTCACGAATCACTTTAACTTTCTCTTCAATGCTTAAAACTTTCCTTTTCATTGCCATGTTTTCGCTACTGCACTTCTCTGGGTTTAGGCAGGAACACTATAGGGTAAGTAGACAATGTGAGGTCCTGTTAGACGAGATTCTAGGAAAGGAATGCAGTTAACAACCTGCCGCGTCCTCTTGCACTATTCACGCAGTCCCACCCCCACACCCTTGTTTTCGCATAAAACCCACCCTTCTCTTGCAGCCCATGGTCGTATTCTTCCAGGACAGTCACGTCATCAAGTAGAGAAAGTGAGGGTGGGCAGACACATCGAACTTTCCCACGATATCAAAGAAATTCAGGAATGAAAATGACGTTACATACGAGGTTGATGCATTTGTGCATGTCGTACTAAGCAAGGTATAAAAACAGTTGCTTTATGAGGAATTAGTTCGTACCATTGAATATTTGACGCAATAGACAAGGTGTCGCAGAAACCGATGTTGCTATAACCAAGTTTTACTGTATGTGTACCTCATTAGAGTACATCGTTCAAACATTCTGATTTCTTTTGGGATGTCAGGACAAAAAAAATAGTAATAACTTCTATGGACTGCCAGTTTATCTATGCAACAATATTCTACTCCCATCTGTTACATATATATGGCCACTGTTTACTGTATCTAGTGGATAAACTAAACGATGTTCTTTTGTGGAGGAAAAACTGACCCACTCTGCTGAAACAAATTACTCACTTCAATGTTTCAACCTTCTGAAACATGCAACTAAAATAAAATGCTCCCCAGTACCCTTACATTGGTGAAATATGGAGAATAAAGGGCATTTAAATTAACCTTTATTGGCCACATATCGGACTGTTGTAAAAAGCCATGCATGAGGATCAGCAGGCTGGGCACTGCAGCTTTTCAATAAAATTACTGTTACCCCAAAGTTAAAATGAGCCCTAAGTACAATGGGATTTAGGATCCTCAATTCCGAGATGAGGAAGTTAAATGGCACAAGTGTGTCATGATACAGTGAATTTAAATGGTATCGCTAATGGCTAAAAAATTCTGGTTCATGATCTTGACATGATCTCCAATGCTATAACTGGTTTCCGAGAAAATGTACAAATTATTAGAGTATGGAAACAATAACAATGACAATGGACCTACTGCCTCTATAAAATTTATTTTGGCTGTACGTAAACATAAGTCAATTATTTACGTGTATTCTTCAAATCACTCTCCGTTGAACTAATACAAACTAATGAGACTGGTTGCTTCAGTACTCTTACACCTGAAAATGTATGTCTGTTAACTACGCCCCTCAACTTATAATCTGAGAAAAGAAGAAAACTCCTTTTAATGCATGTATGTGTGAACATAACAGGCCACATAACACACCTGATCCCTAACACGCTATGCGTGTTCCAGCGTCATGACAAATTACGCTTAGAAGGCTGGTGGTGGCTTCTAACCCATGATAGATATCCATATTCTATTCTCACTGATGGATAAACTCAACCTGAACAATACTTTGACGCATATCAGAAAAGCATGATTCTGGAATGTAGCTGCACCTTTTGTATTTCAGATACAGTACATTCCAAATTATCATTGTTAACAAAGGGGAAAAGACAATAACAATCGAAAAACATATAATTCACAATACATTACAGAAATTCATAATGTACTCATTATAATACCCCTTGTCTGTCTCAAAAACTGTACAACTAACTGAGAAAGTATACTGGATATAAAATGTGCATTTAATTTATCTATACAACTTTTGTTTAAAATTGTTTTTTCTCTCCGGAAAACATTTAGTAAGTTACAAAATATATGGAGAAACGTGTGTAAGACTTCATGCAAAGTTATTATTAGAACTGTCCAATCTAAACTAAAATTGAAATGGATCCACAATGTTCCCCAAACTTCAAATTTCATGAAAATCCATACAGCAGCTCCACAAGCTCAAGTATACACAACAGTAACCTGTTCATGAGATATGAATCAACTGTATTCTCATCAGGAAGGACAATAATTGTTGGGAGTGAGAGATTAGGTTAAGCCAAGCTCCTATCAATATACAGGACTTTAATATGAATAACAACAAGGAGAAGTAGCAATCTGTGTGTTTTGAAATAGAAACAAACGAGTCTCCTACCTTGACCGCAGTCTTGTGGAAGGCCCGAGTCTTGTGATGCACTAGGGATGCTGGCAAATATTGAAGAACCTAAAAACAAACCCAACAATCAAATATGAATATATATATACACGTATACACAGGGTGTCCCAGGAGGATTGTGAGACTTTGGGAGGGTGTTCCTTATGTTAAAGTATGCCGATAAAACCCAAAACACCTATGTCCAAAGTTGAACGGTTACGGAGATAATGGCCCGAGAAAAGTGTGGTCTTCTGGCAGGTCCACGCACTGTACCTGTCAGCTGACAAGTCTTATCTATGTTTGTCCTTGAGTGTGGTGATTCACACTAGCCGTAAGCTTATGTGCTACCTGCAGGGTATGTTACGGCCGTGTTGTGAATGGTTGGTAAATTAGGTGTACAGAGTTGCTGAAATCCCTTTTGTGTTTTCACACGTGGAATATTGTGATGTGCATTTTGTGTATGGATTTTGTGGTGGCAATGCACGTGCTGCTGTTGAAGAATACCAAAGGCGTTTTCCCAATCGAAGGATTCCATCTCGAAGTGTATTTATGCGAATTCATCAGACATTGCGTGTTAATAGTTCTTTTCCAAGTGTTTCTGTGCACTTTGAAAGGGAGGATGTACGAATAAGAAACATACGAGAGAACATTCGTGAGATGGTTCAGAGAAGTTTGCATCTGTCCACTCGTAGAATGGCCTCTCGCATCGGCGTATCACGTATGTAGGTGTGGCGAACTTTACATGAAGAGCTGTATCCTTACTATGATCAAAGGGTACATCTGGAACCAGGCAACAATGCTCAGCGTATGGATTTGTGCCAGTGGATAAAAGCTCATTCCGAACTGTTAAGCGTCATTTTATTCAGTGATGAGGCGTCTTTTACCCGGGACGGTGTAAATAATTTACGAAATGTGCATATGTGGTCCCATAATAATCCACATGAGACAATGGTAACGAAATTCCAAAAGAGATTTTCTGTGAATGTATGGTGTGGGGCGCTTGGGAACAGGTTGATCGGACCTTTTCTGTTTCATAACAATTTAACTGGAAACACGTATGAAGCCTTCCTGAGGAAGGAGTTACCATGTTTGTTGGAAGACATCCCATTAATGATAAGGACCCAAATGTACTTCCAACATGATAGGGCTCCACCACATTACACTCAGCACGTGAGAGGCTCCTTAGATGAATCCTTCCCTAACCGCTGGTTAGGTCATGGTGGTCCTGTTGCATGGCATGTTACGTCAGTGCTTGCCATTCATGTATCATGTATAGTGCTTGGAAACCTACAGACAACTATGACATGGCTTGCAAGTTTTTTTGTTGTTCAATTTAATGGCTTCATGTCACTCACAAGTTAGTTTGATGTTACACACATTATTAACATTACAGAAACCACATATTCCTGCCAGTTTAGTATGTATCTGGTAATCAACAAGTGTGTAACACCTGTCAAAGTTTCACACTTCTCTGGCCATTTTCTCCGTAACCGTTCAACTTTGGACATAGGTGTTTTGGGTTATATAGGCATACTTCAACATAAGGAACACCCTCCCGAAGTCTGGCACATTCCTCTGGGACACCCTGTATGTATGTATGTATGTGTGTGTGTGTGTGTGTGTGTGTGTGTGTGTATATATATATATATATATACATACACATACATACATACAGGGGGTGTGTGTGTGTATATATATATATACACACACACACAATATAAAATGAAAGAGATGGAATAAAATAAAAAACCAGTGAATTATGCAAGATGTGGCGGGAGAAACATAGAAATAGTTTTCTGAAATTATGAGGTGTGTTCTAAGGGTTCCCGAAATTGGTCTGTAAATAATATCTTTCTCTACTTAGAGCTTACTGAATATTATCCCCTTCAAAATCATCCCTTTGTGGAGCAATGCACCTCTCCTACCACCTCTTCCATGTTTGGAAGCACTGTTCAAAAGATGTTTGTGGTACTGCCTTCAAGTCATTTGTCACATTAGTGATGATGTCTTCCACTGTTTAAAATCTTCTTCCTTTCAGGGTAATTCTGAGTTTAAGGAACAGAAAAAAGTTGGGAGGGAGAGGTTAGGTGAAAAGGGAGGATATGGAAGGGTATGAATTGAATGTTTTGAAAAGAACAGTCTAAAGACAATGTTGTGTGAACAGGCACATTATCATGCTGGAGGAGCCAGCTTCCTGCAGTCAACATTTCAGGTCACTTTTTTTGTACTGCACCCCACAGACATCTCAGAACCACCAGATAAAAATCTTGATTATCTGACCTTCACGAGAGAATTCATGTTGCACAGTGCCTTGATTAAGAAAAAGCAGCATTGCTTTCACTAGTGAGTAAACCTGTTGTGCTTTCTTTGGACAAGGTGAAGCAAGACTCTTGTAACCACAAACCCATAGGTAATGATATTTTTCAAAAGATTTTTGCTGTCATTTGCTCTTTGGAGATCAACAGTCAAGAGTCTTTGCACAAATTTTGCTGAGACCACATGCATTCCTAAAGCTGCTGCTAAAATTTTATGGCATGAACCAATGGACATCCCAACCTCTTCTGTAACTTGAGGACAGTCAGGCAATTTCAATGAATAATGTTCTTCACGTGGGCAATCAGAGGCTCAGATCTTGAAGGTAAAAAAAGATGGCCTGTCTGTTCAATATCATCCATTACATTATTTCCATTTTTAAAATGGGGGAACCATTTGTAGGTCGTTGTTTGACTCAAGGAACTGTTGCTGTAAGCTTTACATTTCTGCAGCTGTTTTCCCTACTTTGAAACAGAATTTAACATAAATTCTTTCCTCCTTTACTGCCTCCATACTAGACACAACAAGACAACAACACATTTGATCACAATACCAGTTATAAAAACTAAACGGAATGGTCAACCAACTTGGAATAAAATGACTTGTGTAACTAGTGGTCAGGTTGCAAGGTCAATGAGATGACACCTAATATGACTGATGCACTGCTGTTCCACACTGTCACTCTGGGAACTATTTGAACACACCTCATATAACAATAAAATTCCTTTTACAGAATAAAGAATGGTGTTAAATGATCATTGTTGAGAGGAGGGACTGGGTGAAGACTTAAGGTGAGAAAAACACACAAAATTGATGAGGAAGGTGTGGACACTGATACAAGAGGGACACTTGTATATGGAAAGGGAGGAATGGAAATTGTTTTAAGACAAACTCCTCCAGTGTACATGTCTAGGAAGATTATGATGATATACACACATAATCAACTTACTAAGCAAGAAAGGGCCAAAACATTTATTAAAGAAAATAAAGGATCCACAGAAAAGCATGAAAATGCACAGAAAATTTTCTCAACAGGCAAAATAAATTGTGTCGATTTTCAATTTTAATTTTTCTAATCAACCACTGGTCTCTGATTTTCATTCAAAATCTACTGTATTAAACAATAAATTTTGCTGTCTGCCAACAAGTCTAGTGTGGGCCCCTTCTCTAACAAATGTTCCTTCCTTTCTCTTACAATTGTAATCACTATAAATGTCTTAGTCCTGTCACAATTTCCTACTTGTTTAATGATACTTTCCTAACTACATAGCAAAAGTGAGCTTGAGTGTGCGTGATAATGGTGAAAGATTGGATCTGGTAGTGACCTATTTGAACCCTTTGTTTTGATTCTTGATGCAACTGCAATGAAAATATGCAAAAATGTGCCTATTATATTCACCATACTTCTCCATCTGTTTCAACATAAGAATTCAAGACACACTGAATGTACAGGGTGGGGCGAAGAAACTTCCTTTTTGTGAAGACGCATTGTGAAGGGCGGGGAGGTAGCAGAAAAGTGGGGATAGGCTCGGCGAATGCAGCAGTCACGAAAGTTTCTGTCTAATACCCCTCAGTAGGAAACATGAGGTGGATGAGTGAGCAGCGTGCATTTGCTGTCGAAGCCTATTTTTCGAACAACCATTCCTACGTGGTAGTGCAGCGAGCATTCTGTACTCACTTCGGAATTAAGCCCACAGTTCCGGTTCCTGACCAGAAAATTGATTGTTCTGTGGGTAGAGAACTTTAGGACAACCAGGAGTGTGGTGAAAAAATCATCAGGATGACAATGGACCGTTACGATGCCAGAAAATGTGGAGGCAGTTTGACAGTCAATTTTGAGATCTCCAAGATGCTCTGCTTGCAAATGTGCAGTCGCCCTAGACATAGCCAATCGTTCAATGCACCGAATTCTTCACGAACATCTTCATTTCCATCCCTATAAGATGGTTGTTGTGCAAGAATTGTCACCACATGATTTCCTGAACCGAATAACGGCGTGCGAAATGTTATTGGAAACTTTACCCCCCCCCCTGCACACACTTGTTTTCTTTAGTGATGAGGCACATTTTCACCTATCCAGATATGTCAACAAGCAGAATATGCACTATTGGAGTGGTAACAATCCCAGAGAGCTCCATGAGAGGCGACTTCATAGTGATAAGGTGACAGTATGGTGTGCGTTGTCAAGAGTTGGAGTTATTGGCCCTTATTTTTTTGAAGAAGACAATCATGCAGTTAATGTCAATTCACAGCAGTATGTGGACATGATTAGAAACTTTTTCGAACCAACTCTTGAAGAAATGCATCTAGGAAAAGTCTGGTTCCAACAGGATGGTGCCACGGCCCACATAGCCCGAGCTTCAATAAGTCCATGTGTGTTTGTGCCCTCCCCCCACAATTCCAAATTCTGACCTACGTGATCATTATTCATGAAACCTGATATGAATGTTATGCCACTGGAGTAGACCTCAAAAGCATACTTTACAATTTCCTAAAATCAATAACATCACACCATACAGTCAATATGATCAGGGCCACATACAGTAGAACCCCAATTTACTGTTCCTTGATTTAAACTTTCTTTCATTTAACACGCAACTACAGTGATTCCAAGTCAATAATCGAAGTGAAAAATTTCCTTTAAGCTTTTTTCTCAGTTCAGGGTTCAAATCCACTAACATCCAAAGAAACCTTAATTGGTGATTTCAATGTAATATAAATGACGTAAGGTAGAAGATTTTGGAAAAATACGTAGCTATTACTTATACTCTTGATTTGTCTATAATGCAACAATATTAATTTAACAACATTAATTCATGCTTAATTCACTACACTGAGAGGACATTCAACATAAGGTACAGAGAACATATTCAGGCAATTGGAACCAATAATAGTAATTCTGGCTATTCAAATCATGTATTAGCTATGGGACATACATATGGAATAATAAAAGATACTATCACGTGTTGGGTGTATAATACGACAAATAACTTCACGCCATATTGAATGTAGCGAATTTATTGAACACTCACTCTTACAATCACACAATTTACAACCCTACACAATAATCTATTCACTCTATCTTCACTAGTCTTCACTTATTCACAGTACAATACAGGAGCTATACTAGTGTCACTATATTACACGCTCGCAATAACTTCTCACACTATCACTTCTAATCACACATTCTGGTAATCTTCTTTCCGCCACAAGTGAACTCGGCAACTGTTCCAATTCAACTGATTTCGGCGGCTGCTCGATCCGCACTGTGTCGCTCGTGCTCACACACTTATACAATTCACAGTTATACAATCTTAATCTTATACAATTCACTAACTCAAGTGCTGTTCAACTGCATCTCGGCAAATCCATTCAACTGTCTCCAGCAATGGCTACATTTGAACTGACTCTGGCGGCTGTGCAGTTCTCTTATAAACCCTCAGCCAGACAATGGAAAGCGCCTCACTTCCCTGTTGCCATGTCGCCTGTTTACAGGTGTTGCTGGGCAACACTGTCTAGAGTTGTTTCCTGCTGTGCAGTAACCGCGGCATCCCCCGCCACATCACCGCGGCAATGGTTGNCCCCCCCTCCCGCCTGGGGCCGGGGGGGGGGGGGGGGGGGGCAGAATGTTGACTGGCCTGTTACCATAGTAGCGACAGTGCTCCAATGCTGCCACATCACCGCTGGCGGGGGAGGGGATGTCCTCCATAGCGCAATACATCACAATACTATGGACGTCATGATGACAGGAAGGAAAGGCAGACATTTAAATACATTAGAAAGATATCACATTTACAAAATTAGTAGGCACTTACACATGAACGATACACACAATCCTATATTCCAAACAGTGTATGAGCTTTACAATAGGTAGCAGTATACTTGCTACCTAGGATATTTAAGTGAGAACAATCACGCAATAATCATTAAAACGAACACAAAGCAACACTAGATACACACAGCTAAGAGAGCAGCACACCCAATGGAACAGGAAAACAGCTGCAATACATATGATAGGAAGAAAATTGTCCTATAAAATCATCCTACAACATCAGAATTAAAAAAATTAATGACAACAGCATGTCTTAATGTATACTATTTGACCAAGTGAACAGTGCAGTAAACTCCTTTAAAAAATGTTGCCTGAAGATGGCTCTATGCGGCTGAAATATGTAGCATAACACCGAACATATATATATTTTAACAATTTTAATGACATCTTAAACATTTAATGAACATTTTGTGAATTAATTTCAAGTTAATATTGTTGTATAAAAGAAGGAAATCAAGACTATAAGTTATACCTCAATGCAACAGGACGCTGAAAGATAATATCATGTAGCTATTGTTAAAGTAGTTTTGTGATAAAATTATAAAATAACAATATTGAAGTCTTGGTAAATGTTCAATTAATGCAAGTATCAGCCTAGTCACTAACACGTGACACAACACAAACCTTGTGATGAGTCCTGAAGAGTCTGACTACTCTCTCCTCCAAGCAGCTGAACCAAAGGATCATCTCTGTTCTGTAACCTGTTAACCTCTTCAATTTCAGTCTCATATTCCACAGGTTCTTGTTTTGGATTTGTCATTTCAATGAACTCTACACCAGACGATTCCTCAGTTATAACAGGAGAACTTAATACTGCACTGGATACTTCAGGTTTCATACGTTTATAAGGAGGTGCAGAGGCTTCTTCAGGCTCTGCAGTTACAGGATTGGCTACAGTCTCTTTCTTCTCTGGTGTGCCATGTAACGACTGTGGTGAAAAAGAACGCATTATTGACACTTTCAGTATTGAGACCACATAGTGTTGGATGGTAGGATGATACACGAATGTTGCCAAAGGATATAGAAGGAAGCAGTCATAGCCTAATTGAGGTACTATAATACCATTTGCCTGGAGGGAATGAGGAAAACCACAAAAAACCTCATTCAAGATAGAAGCTGTTCTGGCCAAGATTCAAACTGAACACTTTCTGAATACAAATCTAGAGTGATCATTATCTGCGGACCAATTTGCTCACTTTAACACATTATGCTGGCTATTACATGCACTGCTGTTCTACCTGCACTAACAATTTAAATTTGCAATGACATCATTTTAGGGTCATTTGTTCATGTCTGTTAATTTTCATTAATTTGGCAAGATAGAATTTATGTGGCCACATGGCAGCGGTTATAAAGTTTACCAACTGCTGGTAACCACTTAAAATATGATTAATATAACTCAATACAGAGGTAGGTACTGGCATACCTTTTCTGACACCCTGCGCGGAGCTCTCGTTCTAACAGAGGGCTGTGGGACTGGTGTAATATCTTCCTCCTACAAGAAAGAATAACATTAAATCTAAATGTCTAAGAAAGCATCAATATTAATGTGTTATTACTGGCATTTATTTCTTGTAAATCTGATATCCTGAAGAAACTTACTTATCTGTAGTTTAACAATGCTGTAACTAACTCTGATTACAGCATCGACTTGATGGTAATGAAGAATGAACACAAAATGTGAATGGAAGTAGTCACATCTTAAGGTATTATCCTGGCACTTGCCTTGAGAAACTGAAGAAAACCATGAAAACCAGTCAGGATAGTCGCAGCAAAGACTCAAATCAGGCACTTTTCAAATTCAAACCAGAAATGTTACCACTTGAACCAACTTCTCTTGTGAAGAATAAACTTGCATTTTTGATAATTAATTCTCCTGTTATTTTATGACCCCTTTTCATTTGAGATCATTTATTGTCAAATGACTGGATGATAAATTGGACATGAGAGCTGAATTAAATTTTGAGAAAAGAAATAACAAGAATTTTCTACACCAGACCAAAATTATTTCACTGTAATTTACAGCATTAGCCACTTCTCACAATGTACTGAAGTGTAGTACTTCCTTTCTCAATGAAAAATTCTCATAGATCATTGAATTAAAAACAAACTTTTGCCATAAGCTAAAGAAGGGAGAGACAAATTTTGTTGACAAGTTGATTTGTGCCATCACCAACCATTACGATTCCAATGGATTGAGTAGTACATGTGCTACTGCACAAAGCAAAAGAGGTTAACTTAAGAGCCCACATATGGGGGGGGGGAAACACCAATGTCTTAATGGAGATCGATACATTCTCTTTTAATTCCACCTAGAAAATTTGGGAACTGCAGATGTCTAACTCATGTGTACATAATGAATTGGACAGAATGTGGAACAAAACAGTTGCAACCTAGTTTAAGATTTTTTTTTAATTCGCTTAGTGAGGGGTGGAGTCCAACTGGGTCCACTTGGAACGGTGGCCACTGATTGGCCTATTGTAGCCTGCTCCGGGTTATTATGATGATGGAGAATTTGGCGGATAGAAGAGTGGCAGGGGAAACCGAAATACTCTGAGAAAACCCGCCCCAGCTCCACTTTGTCCACCACAAATCCCACTTGACCAGACCCGGGATAGTATTTTAAGATATTACTGCAGCATCTGGCAGCAGAAACTGAGGAAGACCATTAAAACATCAATCATGAAGGCTGGTCTCCAAGAGACCTAGGACCTCCTGAACAGGAAATACGAATTGTAACTCTCAACTGCAATTTTTTATGCATGACTTGCAAGTCTAGCATGTAATAATTTTTAGAATCTTCTACATCTCTATTATCCTCGCCTCTGATAGACAATTTTATACTACAGCTGAACGATGCATTATTAACAATGCTTAAGAAGAAAAAAGCAAAAGAACAAAAATAAAATGCTTCTTTAATATTGTGACATGTTGACCCCCACACCAGCAGTGACGCGGCGGGTGAGTCAGCGTTCCCCTCCCACCCCTCAGCGGTAACGTAACGCTCGCGTGATAGGCGAGTAATCACCCCGCATCCTGGCAGCTATGCGCGGTGACGTCACGAGCGGAGCCGAAGAGAGCCGAGCGGAGCCGAAGATAGCCGAGCCCCG